GAAATAGAAGTCATATCCATGAACATGTCGTGGATGATATCACCATTGAGAAGAGAAAACATGCCCATGAGAGCGTCGGATAAAGAGGCGAAGTTGCTGCTGGGCCAGAATACACAAGTTCCACACAGTGCGTATGCCAATAGCAAAGGCACCAGGCCGGAGAGGAATCTCAGTAGACGAGGGAACGCTCGAGCCAGTGTCCGAATGAGGACATAGTAAGTAGGGAAGAACTTGAGGTAACGCAGAAGGGTGAGCCATGCCATACCAGCACCAACGCCTAGAAGAGACAGCCTCCAATAGACATCTGCCGTCTTATCAGCTTTCTGAATACACTGTAATGCAGCAAGGGTTTGGACTGCATTAGCAAGCAATACGAATATCAACCACGGGTCGAGCCAACCGACCGCCAATTCACGTAATAGAATGTCGTTCGAATCACCAGTGGACCTTAAAGAGCCACCCTCTCGACGAAGTGCATGGGACCGAATAGTAAGGGCCGCCGAGAGTAATGTGAGAGGCAAGCAAAAGAATGGCAGAAGATACAAGGCAGGATGGGTATATCTCTCTTCTGCCAGGTGTGGATCCTCTAGGAAAAGAGCCCGGAGCTCGCCGTCCGAACACTCAGTGAGGTCGAAACTAAGCCGACTCTTAATCTGCCAAACGATTCTCGAATCATCAGATCCACCACAAACGATTCTTGCGATTCTATGATTGAGAACGTTGATTGGGCAACTTGCCTTAGGCGAGGGAGTCTTACCTGACCGCTGCCACCGTAATCAAAATTGACTCGTATGTTCCAGGATAAGCATTGCCACCACCAAGAGCCAGGGAAGGGATCCAAAATGTGTATGACAAAGTGCATCTATGAGTGAGGAAGTACAAGTAGTGATGAACAACTAAAACTCATACGTCACGTATCCTCTTCAGTCTATCAACAGAGTTGATGAAGTGTCCATAAGCAGGGTCCTCCTCCCAGGCATCGTCGAGGACCATCCTCTGCTGGTCACCATTAAGCCAGAGTATATGAAGTACCGGGGGCTGCGATAGGTGCCTGATGAGGAATACCATACCGCTCTTCGACAATAGTAAGCTACGAAAGTGAAGGGGCGGTTGTAATAAGAATATTTAGTCCCACCTGAAGTCTGAAAGGCTCTTCCTATCTATATGCCAGTAATGTTCCAATGTGTTATTGCAGATGCTTGCAAGTTCTGATGGAGACGATGCATCTGAGAGGAACTCGTACGATGCCGAGAATCGTTTGGATCTGTTGAAAGCTCGTCGACACCCCAGAGAGAGTCCAACGGACATCTTTCCCGCTCTCCTGGGTTGCCAGATACTCCAATGAATCCTGTATAGAAATGCCGTAGAG